GACAGAGTTTCACCATGTTAGCCAGGCTGGTCTCGAATTCCTGACCTCAGGTGATCCACCAGCTTCGGCCTCCCAGAGTGCTGGAATTATAGGCGTGAGCCACCACACCCAAACTAAAAGTAGAGCATTCTTATTTCCAGAGTTGATATCTTTTCTTATCTCTAAGGAAGTTAATGAAAGGCTTTCTTTGGATGTTTTTTTCTCTGTATTTGGTCTCTTTTTTTCCAGGTGGCCCTTTCCCCATTTTTCCCTCATTTATGTTAGAGGTTTTCCTTGCATATTTGATCATCCTGGGAGGTCTGCTCTTATTTATGATTGGGGTACTAAAAGGCTTACTAGCATTTTAAGCTCATTGGTAGTGGACAATTCAATACTTTAAATAAATTTATAGAGTTGGGCAGCCATCACCTGAAAAAGTTCCCTGGTGCTCTTTTACCATTTATTCAAACTCCCATGCTCAGCCCTAGGAAACCACTGATCTGCATTTACTCTTTATAAATTTGCCTTTCTAGACATTTTATGTAAACAGACTCATACAATATGTAGTCTTTTGTGTGTAGCTTCTTTTACTTAGCTTTGAAGTTTGTCTGTGTTGTAACATGTATCAGTATGGTGTATTTCATTTCTTTTTATGTCCAAATAATATTCAGTTATATGGATACACTACATTTTATTTATCTTTTCATCAGTTGATGTGTACTTGGGTTTTTCCTACTTTTTGATCATTATGAATAATACAGTTATAAACATTCATGTACAAGGTTTTGTGTGGTTTCATTTCTTCCAAGGATATATCCAAGGAGAGGAATTGCTGGGGCATGTGGTTAACTTTATGTTTAACCTTTTGAGGAAGTGACAGACTTTTTTCCACCATGCTGGTACCATTTAACATTCTCACCAGCAGTTATGAGGGTTCCATTTTCTGCACATATTTGCCTGTTCCTGTTGTTGTCTGTTTTTTGATTATAGTCATTTTAGTGGATGTGAAGTGGTATCTCATTGTGATTTTATTTGGATTTCCTAATGTATAATGTTGAAGATATAATAAAGCAAACAAGCTTTTATATGGTGTAAAAAATCATCAGACCCACTAATTTTTACTGTAGAATGTAGGTTAATGGTTTAAGCCAGTTAATAGTACAGTTCTTCACCATTTTGGTTCCTTCCTTCACAATCCTTTTCCCATTATCTCCACTTTTTCAATTGTTGAGTACCCTATCATTTAGATATTTCATTCCAGTTTATACTACTATTGGATAAGACATATTCATTTAGCAATCCTATACTGAGCACTTTCTAATCATCTGGCCAACATCATTATCATAGCTAATATTTGAGTATTTTAAAAATGAATTTTACGTAGTTTTATCACATTTAATCTAACACTAACACTAAAGTAAGTATTAATACTGGCTCTATTTAATAATTGAGGAAACTGAGACAGAGAGTTAATATCTTACCCAGAACTCATAGTTTGTAAGTGATAAAGGCATGATTTTATTCTAAGCTAGTTGATTACAGAAACTATTATTCTATCCTGCCTGATAAAACAGACAGTATTGGAGACAATTATAAATAGCCAGTGATACTATGTTAGTATTTCTAATGAAGAAGAAAAAGAGAAAAGAAGGAAAAACAAACTAAAAATTGATATCAGTGGAAAAGTACATAAATTATATTCCAACCAAGGATATTTGAGATCTATCACTAGAAGAACAATTAAGGAAGTTTCAAGAAGAAAGAACTTAAAAGTAGGTGTATAGACAAAGAAGTTTCCAATGTATTTCTTCCTTATAGTTGTCTGGTAGTATGCTAAAAATGTTTAAGCAAATGCCCAAATTGCAAGAATATAATCCAGGGTACTCTTCATACATTTTCATAATAAAGAAAACCCAAACTGGTGGTTGAATTTATATAGAAACACCTTTAAAATATTGTTGAACCATTGATGCTATCTAAAGTTAAGATATAGATTCTTAAATTAGAACATTTGTATTCTACAGTGTTTTGGTTCTAGTATCCTGTTTTTTAAAAAAAGTAGATAGGATCATAGATTACATTTAATACTCTTTGTCTATTTGCAGTAGAAAACTTGCCTGTGATGAATATTTTTGTACTTAAGGCAGTGAAAATGGTATATTAGTATATATGTATGAACATATGAGGAATAAAAGTGCTATTTATACAACATTTCAGGAAGTAATAAATTTGGTACTCTTTCTGAAAGCTTTGATTACTCTCTCAGACTGTAAAAGAACTGAGAACCAGGAAACCTTGAGTTTGTTAGAGCTATAGGTGCAAATTTTCTTTGGTGCTTTTCACTATTTTGTTATAGGGAATTGAAGTATATTGCCAATGATTAAAAAAAAACCTTTTTCTCTAATTTGTGAGAAACATCTTAATAAAACACTTTAGAAAGAAAAAAAAAAATGTATAGAGTACATCACTGTTCTACTCACAGTCCTCTAGTGGTTTCTTATTCTAGGTATAAACTCCAAAGTTTTTATTATAGCCTCTCTGACTTTATATAATCTGATTCCCAGCTAACTTTCTGACCTTGTTTCTTTCCTTACTTCTCCTTACTTTGTTATAGCCACATAGGTAGAATTCCTAAGGGTTGTGGGAACACACCAAGCACATTTCTGTCTCAGAGTCTTTGAACTTCTTCATTTGCCAGGAATATCCATTTCTCAGAGAGCCCCATGGCTTGCTCCCTTAATTCATTCAGGTCACTGTTATATGACATCTCATTAGAGAGGCTTGCCCATGCTATCCTATGTAAAATAGTATCTCCCACCCCCTCAACCAATCTCTGTTCCTATATGGAGTAGACACTTTGGTGATTGTTTTTTACTCTTTTCTATTCTAGAATGAATGTAAGTCATAGAGCCAGGGATGTTATCTGTTTTATTCTTTATTATAGCCCCAGAGTCTAGAACAGAGCCTGGCACACAGTGAAGGGATGGATGGATGGATAGATGGATGGATAGATGGGTAGATGGATGATGAATTGGAATGTCTGGCTTTTGTTTAAAACTGAGATTTGTGGTATTAGACATAATGATAATTTAATTGATTCCTTACATCTCTCTAGCTCTTTACCATTTTCAGTGATTTTATGTTCACTTTGCCTCATTTCATCCATTCATTGGCCCTCTGAGCTAGGCAGAAAGCTGTAGTCATTATCCCTATTTTATAAATTAAAAATGTGAGACTTAACTTAGACCCTTGCCCAAGGACACAGGGCTAAGAAGTAAAAATCTGGGTAATAATCTAGCTCTTTCTCTCTCTGATAGATGTTATTATCACTGCCCAAAGCTATCACCTATGGAAAACAGGATCTTTTACTGAGGAAGGTGATGAAATCCCCTTCTCTACAGTTTTATAAAGCAAACAAACCTAGTGTTTATAGTATATATGAGGGGAGCCCCAGGGCTACCTGATGGTGAAGAGCCATGCTGAGTCAACTTTATTCCCACATTAGGTTTTTAGTTAAATTCTGTTGAGTGGAATAGGGGGGAGAAAATAAATTAGAGCAGAAAAATATCAAAATATATATTTTGACAGGGAAAGAACCTCTATTGACTTTTGAACTGTAAGAAACTTAAGGTCATCACTCAGATTACACCACTCCTCTTCCTTCACATGCCTCGGGTGATTAAACTTCAGATTAAGAGGACAGATTTATTGCCTGTGGTCAATAAATCTGTGGTCACCACAACTGCTTACATATGCCCGGCACTGTCAGTTTTTAAGTTATGCCTTGTGCTGAAGGCCCTGTTAAAATCTATGAGATTGCCAGTTTTTCTTACTTTAGTATGTCAAATGTGGTAAAAGACAGTTTCCCACACTCAGTCGCTCTAGTATATTATTCCTTAGTTCTTCCATTTATCCCATTATTCTGACTCTTGGTCTTCCTCTTAGGAGTCTCCAGGTGTCAGGCAGGAGGGGCCCTCATCCTCTATCTCCTATACCAGATGATCACTACTATAGGAGATGGATCATCTTTTTCATCTTTGTACCTTTATGTCAACAGTATCTATCATAGTATCTTACTGAGCGCAAAGTAGGTGCTCTGAAAATACCTAAAACTATTGAATTATATCAGTATATATTAAAAGATCCCTATTGCTTCTCTAGTTTTCTGCTGATCAAATGATAGAACCGTTTGATCTCTATCAAAAATCTCATGTTTTGGAGGCATTTTGTCTCTTGATTCCATGTAATAAACAGTAATGGTATGCTATTTTTGACTGGACCTATCTTAAAACCTGCCATTCTTGGCCCAGCTCTGTTACAGTTTGCATGGGGAAATCAGGTTGTCACAGATTGTGAGCAGATCAAATTAGTGGTAAATTCCATTCCAGGGTACGGGAGAAGCTTAAGGAAATAGATAGTATCCAGTCTGGAGAGAAACTCATTGTCCTCTTCAGACAACCTGATCTTGATGCTGATGTTCTGTATCTTCAGGTTGAGGCGAGGACCCCTGGTGATGTAATGGGTTCAGGAGATTTTTGCAAAGAAAGGAAAAGGCAGGGCAAAAGCCTGTTAAGACTGCCATCTACCATATCAGGAAAGAATAAGAAATTATAATGATAAATTTTGAAAAATTAGAAACTTTTGATCCCTTCCCTATATTTTATGCCTTATTTCCTATTCAGTATGAAGAGTGAAATTCATAGAATAAGAAGGTATTATGAGGTTGTCTTCAGGATTAGAGAAGAGGCAGGTAGAAAAGCTATAAGCTAGCTTCTCATTCACAATTAGGTTTTGGGTGGGGGAAGGGAGCCCCAAGGGACTGAGTGGATAGTGATGGCTAAAAGTAGAGAGAGACTCAGATTGAGTTCCTGAGACAAGCTACACTAAGGTGAGAGCTTGGACGCTAATATGAATTTCAGAAGGAGTATCAGGATGGGGTTTCTCATGGGCGTTTGGTGATCGTGATAGTTAAGTTCCAGGGCAGCTGGACCAGATGCATCTGGCTTTTCTTCTTTGCACAGAATGTGAAGGCTGTGTCCGAGACTCCCGCAGTGCCACCAGTTTCAGAAGATGAGGATGATGATGATGATGATGATGCTACCCCACCACCAGTGATTGCTCCACGCCCAGAACACACAAAATCTGTGAGTCTTTGGGAACCTGACCAGTTTTGTGATTTATTAGAGCGAGTGGGGAAAGGGAGGAGTTGGTGCTGAGACCTAGAAGTTTAATATTCTGGTAGGGGTCCTTAGATTTTGGAGCTGGTGAAATCACTGAACTACCTTACTGAAGGTACTTTCTGTATGACTGAAGACAAGAAGTGGTGTATTTATTTATCATTGGTTTGCAAATAGTCCCAAAGTGTCCTAGGTAATTGATGTTTATACCAATCCAGTCTTGGTTTGCTTAGCCTGTTCTCCACAGATAGAAGAGGAAGATATATAGGATTGATGCTACTTAGTGCAGGACTAACATAAATTATTCCAGTCTCCAGGGAAGCAACAAATTGTCTTGCTACAGATCTTCTCTTCTCTGTTAAATGGGCAGCATTCAGCCTCTTAGAGCATTATTGATAATACTGAAAGACCCAAGAGAATTTATAAATACATTAGCGCTATTAATATGCTGGGCATCAGGAGTACATTTTGGTGCTGGATGTTGGCAGTGATTTCTGTTTAACTTCCTTTGAGGTTCCTGCATCTCAGAATAGCCGTAGTGCCTCTACCCTTGCTTTGAAAAATCTAGTCCCTGTGCCCTTTACTTGATTTGGCATCACTGAGCATTGACCTACCATCAGATGATACTAGTATTTCTTTGTTTATGCTTTTTATTACAACGAGAGCTCCATGATGAAGGAATCATCTAGGGCTTAACTTCTGTGATCACGAAATGAAAAAAAAAAAAAAAGAAAAAGGCTGTCTCTGTAATACAGCATTCAGGGAGGTGTTCAAACAGAAAGTGATTGAATGTCTATTGGAGATGCTGTGTAGGAAATTCAGAGGAATTATATGACCTTTTAGGATGAGAACTTAGAATCTGTGGAATCACCTTCTCTGTAGTTCACAAAGTTACCTTAAGGAAAACTGGGCTTCAGAATTGGAGAGTTGCTAACACTGATATGGTTTCTTTTGGTTTGTAAGCATGTTCATTTAAAACATTTTTTTCTCAGTAAGCCATGAACACCTCAAAAAGTAGAGGAAATCCATATATATGTATTTCTAGTGTTTAACATAGTTCTTGGCACCTGCAGAGGTGGGTAAATATCAGAGGGCAGTAAATATTGATGAATTTTTGATTCATTCAATGAATGAATGAATGAATAGATTGATAAATTCAATCTTCATAGCATTTCTTTCTAAAAAGGTATTGTTAATTCCTAATTTATAGAAGAAGCAGCTGAGATTTGGAGGGGTGAATTGATCTGCCCAATCTCTTAGTAAACTAAAGAGCCAGGATTTGAAAGCAGGTAATTAACCCCAACTCCAGGTTGTTTTCCACCATAGCACAGTGGTATTTTTGTGTGCAAACCTGTGCTAGAAGCCAGAGAAGGAGACTATTAGAGAAGGAAAAGGCAAGCTGTCTTCAAAGAGACATATCAGGACAGGCAAAAGAGGTCAAGGCATGAAAGTATAGGTTTAGGTACCTGGGATATAATTCATCTACAGGTACAAGAATAGAAAATTGAGAAATTATTATACTAGAGTAGTAATCAGGAAGGAAGCCATTGCCTCTGATCTTAGTGTCTTGGCTTATTGCTGTTCCCACTACATGGAAAGTTCTCTCCCATTTCCACCTATTAAAAGCCCATCCAGTCAAAAGGTAGCATGGTCAAGCAGTCCAAGGTGCAGGATTTAGTAGGTTTTAGTGTCTGTGGAGCCGTGGGTTTGAGTCCTACTGCTGCCAATAGCTTTGCATCTTCGCAGATAAATGATCATCATAGATAAATGATCCTCTGTTCTTTGTAGAAGCCTATCCATCCTTCAGGATCCTGCTGAAGGATCCTGTTTATTCATTTATTCCATCAAATATTTACCTGAATCCTTGCTTTTTTGTAAGTGGTTAGTTGGAGAAACTCAGGGATGAATGACCCACATTCCCTGTCCTTATACAGCTTATAGACTATCCAAATGATAATTGTGATATTTTTATGATAAAATCTGATAAATACCTTGAAGCATCCCCTGGAGAAAGGAAGTATAACTTAACAATCATTTCTGAACCTCATAGTATATAGCTTGCTCATTTCTTTATGACATTTATCCCTTTCTTGTAGTTATGATTTTCTCACCTCCTTTATAAGAATGAGAGGATGGAGTAGCATTTTGTACAGGGTGAGACAAGTAGATTCTCAGTAAATGTTTGTTATGTAAATGATGAATAGAACATTTAATATTTTTGAAAGATAAAATTTGAGTGCTTAATGTCTGTTAGGGATGATTCTGATTACCTCACATATTAATCAGTTTACTCCTACAGCAACCCCATAAGATAGGTATCATTATTATCACCACTTTATAGATGAGGATACTGAAGCACAGAGAAGTTATATAATCTGCCCAAAGTCATGTAGAAGGTAAAAATAAAGAGTTGGCGTTTAAGTTCAGGCAGTCAGGTTCCAGAGTCTGTGTTCTAAATCACCACACTCTACTGCCTCTTGATGAATAACAAAAGTAGTTCCTTCCCTGCAAGGGTTCAGGATGTAAGGAGGGAGTAACTCAATAGAAGCTGGTGTTGTGCTACTAATGCAAAGTGCTATGGGAATACAGGATATTTCTTTTAGCTTGGGAAAGCATAAAATGTTACAGATGAAGGGGATACTTATCTAATAATTGTCTTTAACTAATTTCTTTTGATAGTTGTCTAGCCTCTATTGAATATCTTTAATACTGAGATTCTCACTTCTATTGTGTACAGTGAGAGCAAGGAAGGCCGTTTTACCCAGAATGAATGGGCCTAGGCACAGAGGAGGAGTAATATAAATTTTGACGTAGGAGAAAGGATGAATTTATTGGGATTTGTTCTGTGGATGTTCTAACCTCACATCTAGGAGAGGTTCCCCTATGCCCTATGCTAACAAAGGCTGGCCTTGCCAAAATTTTGCACTAATAATGCAGGTATACACACGGTCTGTGATTGAACCACTTCCTGTCACTCCAACTCGGGACGTGGCTACATCTCCCATTTCACCTACTGAAAATAACATCACTCCACCAGATGCTTTGACCCGGAATACTGAGAAGCAGAAGAAGAAGCCTAAAATGTCTGATGAGGAGATCTTGGAGAAATTACGTAAGGAATTTATAGCTTTCTGAACCTTTCTTTGCTGTATGACTGGTCAAGCACGGAGATGAGATTCTTGGTTGTAGGCTTTGTCCATGTGGCTGTCTGGCCATGCTTGGTACCTTAGCCACAGACTGCTTCTCCTCACCCTGCCCCTACACCTCCCTTCCATGTCTCACAGCCCTGGTTGGATACTATGTTAGAATGGGGATGTGGTAGGAGGGAGTGTGAATAGCTCACTTTGAGAGTAGGGTACCCTTTGCCCCTAGGCATGGATTATAGAGATAGCAAATAGTTTTTCTCTAATGAATAGTCTAGAATGCCATGTTGAGAAAGACTGAGGACCTAGTGGAAAAGGGCACTCTGATTGATTACTGATGTTTTGCCATTGACCTAGGAGAAGACAGATCTGCCATCTTGGTTATAGGAAAAGAGGGAAGGGAAGTTAACATTTTATGAACCTGTAGTATGTATCAAATGACAAGCAAAATATTTTCTTGATTTTTAAAAATTTAATTCTCTTGTTAACCCTGTGAAGAAAAGCATTATGATCCTAATTTTTGTAATTAAGATACTTGAGGCTCAGGGAGGCTAAACATCCTGGCCAAAATCACACAGCTAAAAAGTGACAGGGCTGAGGTTAGAACACAAGTTTTTGTTCCTGTAAGTAGAGCATATACTGCCTCTTGCTGTCAAGTGGAAACTTCCATTTTACTTTCCTTAGCTGCCAGAAATGGGGGTATGTTAGGGTAGCTTATTTCTGTGTTTCAGTAAACTGCAGAAGAATTCATATTAGAAGGAAGAACTAGGTTGATCTGTGGGCTTGGAAGAATCATTTGACAAGGGCTTTAATTTATTCACTGTATCTACTTACTTCCAAAGAGGATTTGATGTGACTGATTTGGCGACATTTACAAACTGGCACTGCTTTCCAAAGCCAAGGTTTCTGGTTCTCTAGTTCTTCCTGATTAATTCATGTGTGACTTTAAAAAAATTTTTTCACTGTTTTAAAAATTGCCCTTTTCTGGATCCCTCAGAAAATGACAAAGTAAGAAAAGCCACTTATCTAGTCATCTGTTTACTCCTGTATATAGTCTTGTTCTCTAAACTAGACTTATTTTTTTTTAAACAATAATACTTAGAATTATGGAAAACAGACTTGGCCTGGGAGTTAGGACACTTGAGTTGAAGCTTCTGCCCAGCCACTGACTTGTGTCTTGGACAATTTTCTACTGTTCTCTAAACCTTATTTTTCTCATTTTTAAAATAGGGACGTTAATACTTGTCTCATTTGTAAATCAAATGAGGTAATTTATATGAAAAGTACCAATTCCTAGTACTTGGGTATTAATGGAGAACACATTGGACTGGGAGACTAAAAACGAAACTCCTAATCTTAGCTCTGACACCAATTTGCTGTGTGACCTTGGGGAAGTATATTCTTCCCTTCTATGGGCCTCAATTTCCCCATCCCTAAAATACAAGTCGTAAAACCCAATGAAAAACCTCTGTGTCTTTGCACTTGAAGTATTCTTTGTTGTAAACCTCTTCTCTACTTTATCTCTCTGGCTAACTTCTACTTGGTTAAAGTAGAAATCAGTTTATATATCACCTTTCTGAAGCTTTTCCAGTCTCTCTCTCTCTTTTTTTTTTTTTTTTTGGCCTCTTTCTGTACCCCTTTGTCATTTATCACAGCAATTATATTTCCATGGAACTTCATGCTTATCTGTCTTCTCCCATGAAATTGACCTTCTTGAGAGCAGGGACTGTCTTGACTGTATCACATCTCTTCATTCCTACCTCAGCATATGGCTTGCATATTAAATGAGTAAATATTTACTGAATGGATTAATTAAAAAATGAATGAATAAATTTTTAGGCGTTTAGAAATGGGATAGCTTACTATGAATCAAAGCAGTCAAGGAGATGAAACTTCTGGTTGGGACTTATGGGGGAAAAGCTGAGGGTCTGTTTAGCATGCTCTTTGGCTATTGGAGGTAGTTCTTTAATCCTTGCCAACTCCAGGGGTTGGGGAAATGTGGGACCTTTTTTCTATCTTGATTTGGGAAAAAATCATTTATGGTCTCTGTTTCTTTCAAAGGAAGCATAGTGAGTGTGGGCGATCCTAAGAAGAAATATACACGGTTTGAGAAGATTGGACAAGGGTTAGTAGGGGCATTTTCTTTCCCTGGAAAAATGACTTTGAAGTGTGTGCTGGCATATATGATTTTGCTTTTGTTTTCCCTCTAATAAACGTTGTTCTTCTTTCTCCACTTTACTGCTCACCCATCTGGAGTTGTTTTGTTAGGCTGACTTCAGATTTAACAGAATTATGCTTAATATGAGAGATGTGCCATTAGCTGACCATGTTGCTAAAAATACCCCTGCAGTGACAGTGAGAGAATGATTTTTTTTCTTAGCACAAAACCAGCTTCCCAAATTACAACTCTGCTTTTCCAGATGAACCCTGTTTGTTCTAGTGCTGAGATCTACCAGCACTAGTGTAAAATGGAAGACCCAGAACTACAAACCCTTCTGCTAGTTTTTCTAAGTAGATGCCAGAATTTATTGTCTGGCATTCATCGTTCTCTGTTATCTTGTATGCTGCCTTCAGTGTAATGAATTCAGCAAATCTTAACTGAGTTCCTCTTGTGTGCTAGGCATTATGCACCCAAGAATTTCTGAAAATAAGATAAAGATTGCATAATATGGGGTTATGTTTATACAGTATTCTGCAGTTCACATCTGTTATTTGCATTCATTGTTTAATCCTCAAAACAACTCTGGGCTTCAGTGGATCTCATTTTTTTTCTGGTTCCACTGTTTTTCAGACTAGACAGGCTTTTGTGAGTCTGAACTGGTATAAGGTATTTAACACCTTGAGAAAAAATTATTTTGCTTACCTCAGAGTAACGTGGGATGGTGTTTCCTTTAGGTAGTGAAATTGAGATATTAAGAATGTAGCAGAAATGTACATAGACAAGCTTAGACAAGTCAGGTTTCTTCTCTGGACTTTCTTCCTGTACAGTTAAGGAAGAGAGATTGGAAGAGAGATTGTAAATTGAGGGTCAAAACTTTTGTGACTTTTTTTTTTTGAGGTATTTATCTACAAGACCTATAAACAGACAACATCTGCACAAGTTCTTTCCTTGCTTACTTGACAGGTCTGTTAGTGCTAAGGGAAGAATGAAATATTTGTTAAGCACCTATGCTGATGTTTCCACATTCCATAATTTTTAAAATATAAGTGCCACACCAATATGATGAATTGGTAATATTGTAATTTTTGCTTGCTTTTATTTCTCTTTTAAGACCTTAAGATTCTTATTTTGGACTTGGAATTCATATGTCTAACTATATGTCTATTCAAGTTAGAAATTATCAGGTATTAGCCACTGGGCCTGAGTAGCTTTCTAGAACTTTACAATCATGGAGACAGTCCCCAGATGTCCAGTCTCCTGAGGCTTGGGCATGTTTGTCCTTTAAGAATAGTACAGCTAGCAGGACTAGGAAGGGATGGGGATAGAAAGACAGATACCAGCTTTATAACAGAAGTTGGCTAGAGGCAGGATAATCAGGCAGTGAAGAAATAACTGCCCGTGCAAGTCATCCAATCCTTATTTGATAGCTAATATGTTATAATCACAGTTTCCAGGCATGTAACTAGGGTCTCAACTAGAGTGATGGTTAGGGAACTGGTGACCATAGTTTCTAGCTGCAAGGCATGCTTATAAGTGACTTTTCCCCCTGGATTGACCTGACTTCTCCAGAAATTATAATTTCAGGGCTTGCCTAGGAAGCATTCTTGCAATAGAGCAGAATTTTAATTTTCTTCAAATTGCATTATGTGTACCTAACATATGGCATGTATAGGTACAAATATATGTTACAAATTACTTACAAATATACAGGGTTTATGGTTATAAGCATAAAGTGGGGGTTTTAGTTATTTTGAATGGATGTGATTACTTTCCTAGCATTATTTCTAGCATTTCTTTCCCCCTTCTCTGTCTGTATATATGAATGTGTATATACTTAAATACATATGTGTACACACATGTGTCTTGTGCGGTTGGTTTTACCTTGGGGGTGGGGTAGAGGTACTATCATATTTTCTGGGAGCATATATGTTCGAAAGAGTATATTTAATATTTTATGTTTGAAAAATGAAAACTAAAAACCACTTTTATAATACAAACTACAGAAAACAAAATTCACATATCGTATTGATCGAATAAATGGTTGAAAAACATTATTTTATTTTAAAGGGTCATAGTATCCTATAATATCAGAGTGGGAAGGGTACTTTGAGATTATTTTAGATTATTCAATATGGTTCTTCAAGTTTTTATGTTTTTTTACTATTTGTAGTTTTTTAATGTAAATTTTTACTAAAGATAGCATACGTAAGTGTACAACTCAATGAATTTTCAAAGAGTGAACACACCCATGTAATCAGTACCCAGATTGAGAAAAGGAACATTACTGACACCCCAGAAGTCCATCTTTCTTTTTGATAAATATTTAAGACCCACCACCCCATCCCCAAACGCATTCTGAAATTCTCCTCAAGGCCCCTTTCTCTTCACCTCTTACCCTGCAGTTGAAAATCATAGATCTAATCTTATCCCTTTTATAGATGAAGTGTTTGAAGCCCCAAGAAATTAGAGCCACTTGCCAAGGGTGATGGAGGAGAGGAGGGAAGCAAGCAGGAACAGGAAATTAGTATATATTGAACATCCATTATATGTTATGCAATTGGCTAAGTACTTTACATGAACTAATCAATTGAAATTCTCTTATATGCTCTTATGTCCACTTCACAAATGAAGAAAGTGAAGCTCAGAGAAGTTAAATAACTTTCTCAAGATCCTGCCTAGTAGATGATACTAGGTAGAAGTACCAAGTTGGAATTCAGGTCTCTTGGCCACTAGAGCCTATATTCTCTTTACTACCACTTATGGCTTCTTAAATTTAAAAATGGGAGAGCTGCAGGGAGAGAATTATTTTTACTGCTATTATTTTTGACACGCTGCCATATTGTATGTAGAGCTGCATTTGACAACTATCACTTCATTGAAACTGTGCTTTTCTCTGTTTCTCTCCCACCTACTATTCAGTGCTTCAGGCACCGTGTACACTGCAATGGATGTGGCCACAGGACAGGAGGTAAGTATCCACTGCCCACTGTTACTCCTTCAGTTCTACTATTTCTCTTTATTTGGGATTAATTTTTTGCCCTTCTTAGGTCAATAGGAACATTTCTAGGTTGGTTTTTTTTTTTTGAGACAGAGTCTTACTCTGTAATCCAGGCCGGAGTGCAATGGCGATCTCCCCTTACTGCAGCCTCTGCCTTCTGGGTTCAAGCCATTCTCCAGCCTCAGCTTCCCGAGTAGCTGGAATTACAGGAACCCACCACCACACCTGGCTAATTTTTGTATTTTTAGTAGAGATGGGGTTTCACCATGTTGGCCAGGCTGCTCTCAAACTCCTGACCTCAGGTGAACTGCCCGCCTCAGCCTCCCAAAGTGCTGGGATTACAGACCTGAGCCACTGTGCCCAGGTGGAACATTTCTAGTTTCTTACTATAGTATACTAGAGCCAAATAGCAGGCTAACATGATGAAACTTAAGGTTTGGACTAAGGTGACATAATTAGATGGAAGGAAGTGGATGGATTTGAGAGATACTTAGCAGGTAGGTTTGACAGGATTAGATGATTGACTGGATGTGAACATTGCTTACAAATTAGTAATATTCAAGGAGAAAGAAAAAAGAAATTGGATACTGCCTGATTGTCAAGTGGATAGTTGCTTTGTACACGTTTGTGGCTTGTGAGAGAAATCTGATATAGAGGAGATTTAAACCATGTCTCTTGACTTCTAATCTGCTGGTCCTACCTTTACTTTCCACTGAATAGTGAAATCCTCATTTATTTGGAAGCAGCTTTTTGTCCCTCTCATTTCACTAAGCCAGGAGAACTCTGACCTTATTGCTAAAGCCTGCTGACCCAAGGTCTTATCTTCAGTAAAAGGAAGCTATGAAGGGAATATAGAGTACTTCAGTTTCCTTGCATTCTAATATTTGGTTGCAGAGGAGTGTCAGCCAGTGAACTGTGGATGGCAGCTGCCCAGAAGAAGTACTTACTTCAAAGAGTACTGGGACACAGCAGTTGAGAGAGGCACCCCCTCTTCCAAAGAAAATAGAGTTGGGCTTCTCTGAGGGAGGCTGCTTGAAACGTGTGTCTATATTTTTGGTGGTTGAAACCATGTGGCACCCTGGAGAAGTCACAGTTAATAGGGGTAACACATATCTCACTAGGCTCTCATGAGTTTTTAAAGTGTTAAAGCCAAATATTAAGGCTCTACTTAGGGTAAGGCAACTTTTAAAAATCATTATTATGGTTAAGGATTTATTCATTGTTCTTTGACGTCAGAATCCAAAGACCTAGACGCTTACAAGCCTTTAGCTACTTATATAACCTTGAACAGTTATTTGACCTCTTTGAACCTGAATTTTATATATTTATAAAATGTGCATGATAAAATGTTCACAAAAGTGTTGAAAGGATTCAGTAAAGCAATACATGTGAAAATGCATTATAAACTTTATGAACTACACACTCATATTTGTTCATTTTTACTCATATACATATGTATGTATTCCACAAAGCATTTGCTTTATGCCACACCTTATGCTAGGAACTCTGTGAAAGTTCTCAGACATTAAAATCATATGTAAATGTAAGAGACCATAATTTCCTTTGTGTACATATAAAAGTCTTGTAATATTGACAGGAATCTGCCTTAAAGTAAAAATAATGGTGAGGAAGGAAGGATAGTATTATCATGGCATTTTAATGATGGTGAATATGATGCAGAGATAAAAAAGAGAAGGCTATAACAATCCTGAAAAGAACTCTATGAGGTAGGTAATATTATTTCTTTTTTACTGCTGAGGAATTTGAGGCTCAGGGTGTATAAATAACTCTTTTGCAAAGTTGTACTGTCAGCGATTAGCAGGCACTGGATTAGAATCTTTGACTTTTAATCCTATGTGTTTTGGGTCGTAAGAGCACAACAGAGCTGAGGTTAGATACTAGAGTCTCTTGTCATGTTTCTGGCCTCTCAGGCCTTTTAGCCCTTGATGGGAGGCAGGTAGGTGATGATAGTGGTTCCTGGAAAGCCTGGAGGCTGACTGTGTGAGAAGCTGGCCAGAAGAAAGAGAAATATAAATTCATTGTGTGCCTGCCTTGTGGTTACAAAACTGTGAATGGAAGGGAGTCCATCGGGGTGGCTAATGCAGTGTGGTCAGGAAGCCTTCATTTCCTGCCCCAAGGACTATAAATCTTTAGTGGAGTTGGTGGGATGCTCTCAGTCTCTGCCAGTGAGTGCTTATTGGGGGTTATCCAGCTTAGAAGGGCAGAGCTATTGTCTCATATATAGGAAGAATGTTAGTGCTGGGAAGACTTCCAGTTACAGATCCTACAGTTATTTTTCAAGCGTGTTTTTAGAGAGAATGTGTATAACACACTGAAAGAGCCTTTGGAGTTACATGGACCTGTGGGCATTGGTTATGACCTTAGAATTTTCCTGCAAATCTTAGCCTCAGTTTTCTTACCTGAAAATACAGGTCATAATTTTTACTTTGCTGGGTTGTAAGGTTTTACTATGATAATATAAGTAGGGCATCTAGCACAGAGCCTGGCACACAGTAGTGGTGGGAGAGTGGTTGCTGTGCCAAGTACTTATTAAATACTTTATTACTATGATTACCATTTTCATCGTTGTCTAACTTTATTGGTTAAATTATTTACTTATTACTTATATGTAATGTATTGGCCATTGTCTCACTTGGTATTCAAAGCAATCCTGAGAAGAGGAGAATCAAGGTTGAGATTAACTTCAGTGCATTGATAAAGAGACTGAGGCTCAGAGAGCTTGTGATTGGTCAAGGTCAGTAAGTGACAGTCAGGTCCTGAGCTTAAGTCCTCAGAGTTCAAGTCCAGTTCTTTTTCTGTTATAGGAATGCTATCTCCTATCAGGTGAGGTCTGATTAGTTGAAGGACACTTAGCCTAGCCCATAGGTAGGCCTGGCTGGGCGTGGTGGCTCCCGCCTATAAACCCAACACTTTGGGAGACCAAGGCAGGCGGATCACCAGGTCAGGAGTTTGAGAACAGTGTGACCAACATGGTGGAACCCTGTTTCTACTAAAAATACGAAAATTAGCCAGGCATAGTGGTGGATGCCTGTAATCCCAGCTACTCGGGAGGCTGAGGCAGAAGAATCACTTGAACGTGGGAGGCAGAGGTTGCAGTAAACCAAGATCGCACCTTTGCACTCCAGCCTGGGCAACAGAGCAAGACTCCATCTCTAAAAAAAACAAGAGAGCCTCCATGTTAGTAGTCTCTTCCTGCCTCTCCTTCCTTGCTGCTGCCAGCAGTGACCACTGTGAGGTTCATAAGCAGTGTCCCATCCTCCAAGATGGCATGAGTAACTCCAAAGACATTCTTCTGGCTCCTGTCCTTAATGTGTGTGTTAAGGGCTAACTATACTTAATATCTTTAGATCAGCATGTTGCTTTTCAAACACTGGGAAAAACTAATGCTCAGCTGTTATAAGAGAGCTACAGCCAGACCAGAAGCCTGACCTAACAGGAAACCCCACTCCAAAGCAATTTTTCCTTACTTGAGGCAGGGAATGGAGGTGATTAGATTTTTTAACAGAATTACTTCTATTCTTAATGATTAACTTGGTCTCTGCAGAAGACTGTCCATTCTTGACTTGAAGAAATAATAGAGTCAGGGATTTGTCACATAAAAGTTTGAATCATTCCTTGTTTATACTTCTTGCTGTTTCTGAAAAGACAACTTAGTTCTATTAAATGTTCATGTTCTTGTCTACTAAGCAGGAAAAAGAAAAAATAGCTCTAGAAAATGAACACTTAGCAAATAATTTAAAGTACACTCCTATGGGATACAGGAGCCTATTGCTAGTTTTTTGTTGTTTTTATTTAAAAACAAAGTACTTACCAATCTACTGACTTTTCTGTTGCCCTCTTCCTTTCTGCAGACATTTGTTGAGCACCAGCTCTATGTGTGTAAAACCCTGTGTTTGGCATTGGGGATTCTGGGCTTTCAATCACTACACACCCCTAACTAGTCATTATACATGGTAGCAAGTTGTAAGTTCCATAAGAGAAGGATAAATATGATCTTATAGGACTTTAAAGAAGGGAAAAGGCATATTGGGTTTGGAGAATGAAGTTTCCTTTGGCCTGATACAAAGCATAAGTAGCTTTTGTGGAAATGATACAGGCTATTCCAGAGGGAGAGAAGATTCTGAACAAAGGAAAGGGGACTAGATACCAGGGAGAACATGGAGTGCTCTCCATGAACACTCTGTGAAGGAATAGAGCTGGAAGTAAGGTAGGGGCCAGATGATGTGAACTTTGAATATTGTACTGAGAAACATTTCTAGGCAACCAGGAGCCATGTACGTTTTTGAACAAGGTTATCGTATGTATACTGTGGGGGGAAAATTAATCTGGCTACATGTACAGGATAACTTGGCATCCCTTTTGAGGGTTCTAATCCTGATTTTGCTATTGAATAGCTGTGTATGTAAGTCACATCCTCTCTGAAACACAATTTCCTCATCTGTTGAAACATTAGTAATACTTAGCACACGAGGTGTCTTTGAATATTAAATGAAATAACAAATTTGAGAACACCTTATAATAGTACCTGACACATAGAAGGAATGGATACCAAGTGCCTTAGCAACTAAAGTATACCTTACGTTCATGTTGTATGGAAATTTGTTTTTATTTCTGTAGATAGAGCTCTCATTCTCTTTTTGTCTTCTTTCTTAACCTGGTCAACTCTGATTTATCTTTCTACTTCAGCTTCGGAAAGTCACCTCCCCCTTTATGAAGCCTCTATACATGGCCAGATTGAAAGAGTTCTTGGCTTTTGCTGTATTTTGTGTTTCGGTAGCAGTTTGTATGAACCTCTGTTGTAGCATCTCTTTTCTATTGTGAATTTTTAAAAGTATTTTTCTACACCAAAGTTTGATTCTGAAACTTTGATGTATATCACAGTGACCTGGAGGACTTACTACATCACAGAATTTCTGATTTAGTAGGTTTGGGGTGGGACCTGAGGTTTTTATTTCCAACAAGCTCCTAGATGAAGATGATGCTGGCTTGAGACCTCACTTTGAAGACCACTGGTCTACATAGACAAATTGTGAATTACTTGAGATCTAAGACTGTATCTTTGTTTCCTGAGTACTTAAGGTCTGGTACTCAGTAGGTGCTCAGTTAATGAGAATGACTTTGGTTGCACAATGAATATACTCTGATTTCAGGTGGCCATTAAGCAGATGAATCTTCAGCAGCAGCCCAAGAAAGAGCTGATAATTAATGAGATCCTGGTCATGAGGGAAAACAAGAACCCAAACATTGTGAATTACTTGGACAGGTATGTAGTGGCGGGTCTTATCAGAGGGATAGGGCCTTTGGGACTGATTGGTAGTGAAGCTGCTAGAGAAGAGGCCAGTGTCAGCACTCAGAACTGCCTCCATTTAAGAGTCTTCTGTGATGCTGAGCTCTCTGAATTTGTCCCTGTGTAATGCTGGACACCTTTATTGCTAGAAAATCCTTCTGTGTTAGGCTGAACTCTACCATTATAAAGCTTCTAACAGTTGATCCTAGTACTGTTTGTTTTGCCTAAGGGAAACCTACCAGCCCATCTGCCTGAGTCAAACATCTAGGTCCTTAACTTATTTTACATCCCAAATCATTCCTTATTCTGCTCATCCTTCTGAATAACTCCTAGTTTGTTTGTATTTTCTTAAAATGCTATGCTCAAAACTAGATGTTTTATTTGAGATCTGACCACTATGGGGAGAGTAGAACTCTTTCTAAACTCAGCATAGCTTAATGATTTCGTTCTTGTTTGATCTTTTAGGATGTCTGCTTATAGTCAACTAACGTTTCTGATTTTTTTTTTTACATAAACTTGCATTAAACTGGAAATGTAGAACTCTTCCACTATCTTCAATAAGTCCCATTTTTATTATTTAAGCCCATGATTCCAGCTCATCAAAATTGTGTTTTTCAAAATAGTAAAAGTGGTTGTAGATAATATTTGTATTGGGCTTTAGTTTGTACCAACCACTTTCATGAAATCTCATTGTGAGTTGTAGGGATTTTTATCCATATTTTACAGACGAGGAAACTGAGGTTTATAGATGTTAATAACTTGTCCAAGAGTAGTAAGCCAGAAAACAGCAAAGCAGGGTTTTGAATTTGGATATTCCTAGCACCACTATTAATGCCCTTTCTATTATATGTGTTGTTTTCTCCAATACCTGAAAAAAAAAAAAAGTTAAGCTTCTTGCCCAGGGTTCAGAGACATCATAGGTGGAGGTAAAATTGTACTAAATCTCGGACTCTGATTTCTTTACCTCTTACACTGCATGACCAGCTACCTTTTCCTGTTACTGGTAGATTTCATAAGGGTGCCTTCTTGTTCTGCATCTAAAACACTGGTAAGCTTCAGTTTCCTTAAAGAAGAAAGGAGTTGAACTTTGATATTCCCAATAATGGAAAGAATAAAACCTTCTTTGAGATGTTCTGTCTCCTTAACGTGGGTCCTGACTGGGTCTGAACAATCCTCTGAAAGTTAGGACCTTATCCTCTCTTTCAGAACTTATTAGACAGAGATATAGCTCTTGGAAACTACTGAAGGTGACAGGGGAATTAGGTTTTGGCTCAGGATATGGAAAAATGAAAGCCGTCAGTAAGAGTATGGCCTGACTCACATAATGGTGAGTTCTCTGTCAGTGGAGGCATCTACATGAGAAGACCATGTTATTGAAGGAATTCGTATTCTGGGAGTAGGATTAAAAGACTTAAACAGATTTGTTTATTAATCATACCTTTACTGGTATTCCCAGAGGCTTTTACTCTGGAAATCAGAAGTAAATAATGCTGTCTTTGCCCTCAAATAGCTCCTGGTCTGGTATAGAAAAAAATACACCTCTGTAAGATCATAGAAGAAGTTGCCCTTCACCTGAGCATTCAGTGAAGGTGTTGCAAATGAGGGTCTGTGGTTTTTGTTAGATGTCCCAGAGGGGAACTTCATCGTATATGGATGAACTCCATCCATATGTGATGCTCAGGGGCTTTAGCTTTGAGATGGAATTTTTGAAAATATGCTGACACAGTGCGCAGCCATGAAGTGTTTGGGACAAACTGAATCTGGTCTGTATTGTCTTAGCTTTGACAATGACATATCGGGCCCAGGAAAAGGGGATCTGCTTTATCAGTAGCTAGAGATAGTCACTTAGACCCTCATATTTCTTCCCCCACTCAGTTCAGGTTGATAGTTGTTTCTTCTGTGTGTGGGTAAGAAGCTGTAAATGTGCATTCTTTGTCAGGGAGGAAATAGGCTCATGCCTGTGGAGGACTTTTTATCCAATCCTGCATTGTCTTTTGGTTCATGTCTTAGTCCCAGGGTGCTAAAATTTCAGAGGCTGGGTAGCTTAAAAATCACACAAAGTTATTTCTCACAGTTCTGGAAGTTGGGAAATCTAAGATCAAGATGCCAGAAGATTCAGGGTCTGGTGAGGGCCTGTTTTCCGGTTCCTAGATTTTGTCCTCCTGTGTCCCCTACATGGTAGACAGGTCAAGACAGTTTTCTGTGGTCCCTTTTATAATGGCAGTAATTCTATTTATGAGGGCAGAACCCTCATGTTGTAATCACCTTCCAAAGGTCCCACCTCCTAATAACATTAATGATTAGATTTTCAACATATAAATTTTGAGGGACACAAACATTCAAACCATAGAGTTCAAGTCCACATAGTCTTCTCTCTCAAAAGAGATTGTTGAAGAAAGACTTAGTCTGTCATGTTTATTTGTCATGGACATTAAAAAATTATAAATCAGAACAGTTTTATGGAACAAGCACCTGATTAGTAGTAAAAAAAAAAAAAAATAGGATTCAAATCTTACCCTTTGCTTGAATGCATTTGTTAAAACCTTCCTACAGTCTCCACATCTGTCCAGCAGTATTCCCAATATCAGGATGAAGATAAGATGATACCACACAGTTCAAGCCAATGCAAGAAATGTCCAGCTTCTATGTCCAAGACTGGCAGAAGACTTTAAGGTTCTAGATTTGCCTTGTTTTTATTCGTCCGATTCTATAGTAAGGAAACATTGACCAGATAGGCTAAGTGACCTTTTTATTCATCATGTAATAGGGCTGAGTGATCCAACTCCTAAGCGAAACTATCAGTTCTAACCCATGTCAGTCCATAATCTCTCCAGGGATACTTTACTAAATGGTAGTCTTGGCTTATCAGAAGGCTTTGGCTCTGTAAGACCTTGCTAAATTCATTCCATTCCTGAATCACAGACATTCAAAATAGAGGTCAATTATCAGCGTAATGACTATCTATACAACACTTTGCAGCTTTTAAGGGACACTTATAAACATTATTTCATTTAATATTTACAGTTACCTTTTATTCATTGATTTATTTAGTAAATATTGGCATCTGCTGGGCTGGACTCTGGGAATAGAGTTTTGAACAAGATTCAATATTTGGCCTCATAGATCTCAGATCTGGTAGGACTCTCTGGGAGGTTTAGTAGCTCTCTCTTCTTTGGGTAACATGGACTCTAAATCCCATCTTTGTCCAATGTCTCGATGCTTCTAGAGGTATGGGAATCATGTCAGTCTTTCTAATTTTAGGATGTCTTCCTTTGTGTTATGATGAAATATAATTTTATTATATCATTTTAAGTTAGTGATCTTCGTTCTGCCCTTTGGGGCTTCACAGAACATGTATGCTTGGTTTTCTCCAGGAGCATCCTTGAGAGATTCGAAGTTAGTGATTTTGTCCCCTAGATTCTGCTTTTCCCTGAAGTAAAGAACCTTTTACTTTACTTTGTGCTAGGATGTAATTTTACTCTGTATATATACTTAGCCTTTGAAATGCAGTGCTGTGGCTCAGTGTGCTCTGATTTTTCCTTCTCACCCTTTATCTGTATTCCTGCAGTTACCTTGTGGGAGATGAGCTGTGGGTTGTTATGGAATACTTGGCTGGAGGTTCCTTGACAGACGTGGTGACAGAAACCTGCATGGATGAAGGCCAGATTGCAGCTGTGTGCCGTGAGGTAAGGCCAAGGGCCAAGCTGTCTTGGGTAGAAAGCTGCCTCCGTATTCCTGTCTCCTGAAGTTCCCTATCCAGTGAGATCTCACTGGGCTCTGTGGAAGTGGTAGAAATTAGTGCTGACAAGCCTATCATTCCTGTATTGTACCTGTGTTTTATCATTTCTATAACCATAGTTTTTTCCTTTAAGTTAACTTTATTCTACCCATTATAGAAAAAAGAAAGTGTATATTTTTAAATGTTACTCGTAATTCCAATCTTAAAGATAACCACTCTAAGCACATTATAATATATTCCTTTATCTCTATTATATGGGCATATATTGTAATCATTTTTATTCTGCTTTCTTGCTTTATTTATGTGCTATGAAGAAAATAAAGCAGAGTAAGAAGGTAGTGATGGAGGAAGTACTATTTTAGACAGGATTGTCAGGGAAGGTTTTCTATAGACCTGAGTAAACATCTGAATGATATATAAAAAGCAAGGCAGCAAAAATCTAGGGTAAAATACTTGCAGGAAAATAAAAAAAGAAAACAAAGCTCAAATAGATACTCCCCTTTCTCCTCATTGCTATTAAATGTCTAGAATCAATAATACACATGTAAGCGGACAAAAAAGGCTTCCAGAAGGCCTTCATGAGAAGCAGTATCCTAAGGGAATAATGACATTTCATTTCCATTAGAGCAAAAAGATGAAGGGAATATTCAGACACATTGAGGATATTGGGTGTTTTGCTGATGACAGACTAGAACATTCTGCTGGCCCAATAATGCAAAAGTAATTGTAGTTTTTGCGATTACTTAAAGAAACAAAAAAGCCAAAAACCACAATTGCTTTTGCCCCAACCTAATAGAAAAGTTAGGAAATTGGGGAAAGCATAGAAGATGAGATGAGGCTCAGAATTTTGTGGGGATGAGTATAATAGTGTGATTGGGGTTTGATGGCATAAGGTCTGAAGGCATACTGCTGAAATTATGTAGTTGTATATTTAATCAGTGTTAAGAAGAATAAAATGTGAAACCAATACTACCCTAGAAAATATGGTCACTTTTGCACACAACTTTAGGATCTAGAATGTTCACAAGTAATTGGAATTAATTAATGGAATTAATACCAGGCTGAGATTCTTAGGGGTTCTGACTTTTTTTCCTTTGTTCCACTACTAATGCAGTATTTCTTAACCTTCTTTTCATTATCTCCTTCTTAAGGAGCCTTTTTCCTAATCATGCTCCCTGCCATTAAATTTTAATATCACAGATACATAGCTCAGCTGTATATACTATGGCCCTTTGGAGGGTCACAGGCCATTGTAATACCTAAGATTTTTTTCACCCCACCCCCTCACCCTCAGGAACCAAGTTTCGCTGGTGGAAAATACATGTATATGTATACTTTGGGACATCATTTTGCCTCAAATTATTAATCTGTTAAATGGAAATTGCAGCATTCACACTGTATAAACCTTAGGGTGCTATATGGATCAAAAAGCACTTGGAAAAAAATTTTAATATTGTATAATATATGGTATTGCTATTCTTCAGTTCTAATAGAGATTATCTCCTCCTTTTTAAAACGTCTTTATTGAGATATAATTCACCCATTTAAATGGTTTTTAGTATATTCATAGAGTTCTACAACCACCATCATAATGAATTTTAGATCCTTTTTATCACCCCAAAGAGGAAATTAATATCTGTTAACAGCAACTCTCCCTGTCCCCTGCCCTGACTCTCCCAGCTCTATGCAACCACTAATCTATTTTCTATCTCTGTAGTTTCCCTGTACTGGACATTTTATATAAATGGAATCATGTAATATTTGCTCTTTTGTAATTGTCTTCTTTGACTTAGCTAGGGTTATGTTTCAACGGTTCATCTGTTTTGTAGCATGTATCAGTACCTCATTCCTTTTTATTGCCAAGTAATAGAATGGACATTTGGGTTGTTTCCATTTTCAGCTGTTATAAAAAATTATGCTGTGAACACTCACATACCAGTTTTTGTCTGGAGGCACGTTCTCATTCTTTTGGGTATATTCTTACAGGTGGATTGCTGGTGATATGGCAACTCCATACTCAACTATTGAGGAACTGCCAAACTGTTTCTGTAGTAGCTGTTTTACATTCCTGCCAGCAATGTATGAGAGTTCCAATTTCTCAAGATTATCCTTTTTGGTCATAATTTCTGATATCCTGAAACCTGGGTCTCCAACCTTCTAGGAAGAGCACCTCTTACATTTTTAGGGAAAACTCAATTCTGGATATTGGTTTATTCTTAATTTAGCTATTGGTATATTCTTAGAAAGTAAAGTATTAGGTTAGGACCATTTAAATAGTATTTTCCTGTTCGCTTATATCTTTAGTGATTTTTAATTGGTAGCAGTTTCTTAAAAATTAGCTTTGGGTCAGTGAACTCAAATTATTGATTTAGTAGAAAAGCCATGATGATCTCATCTGATTCCCACATTTTATAGATGGGAGAACAGAAGAGTGAGTTGTCCAGAATTATATAGCCAGTGAGGTGGTAGCAGAACCAGGCATTTTAATTGTACCATTGTGTCTCTTTGTTACTCATTCTGCCTGCTAAGTGTAGATGTTTTCCAAGGTTCTTCTCTTTCTCCTATACCCTTTGCCAGATTCAACCATTCCTATAACTTATATAAAAATCACCTCTTCCCAAATGACTTGTAAATATTTACCTCTGCATGGAACCTAAGATTCATAAATTCAGTTGCCTACTTTGTCTTCAGATGTCAAATTCAGCATATCCAAAATAGTACAACATATCTCCTCACCAAAATAAGATTATGCTGCAAACTTACTGCTTCTAGTATCACTTCCATATGTCTGCTTCCTCAAATATGACCCTTATTTGTTGTTTTTCTCCAGTCAGTCATTATCAGATCCTTTCCATTTTTTTCAGTAATTTCTCTTGGGCCTTAGGTTCTTTATCAAGGATTTAATTTAAAAAAACGAAAACAAAAACAAAATACATTGGAGGAACTCTTTTATTTAAGAAAACTATTTTAAGGTGAAAGGCAGCATGAAGTGTTAAAAGAATGTTTAGCTAGGAGATGGAAGACTTGGTTCTAGGTCTGGCTCTGTGACTGATTTGGGGCAAGTCCTTTTACTCATTGGGGCCTTACTTCCTTTATTTTAAAGTGAAGAGGTTGAATTAGTTCATTTTCTATTAAGTTTTCTGTATTATATGTATGTCCTTTCTTTCTCCCCCTCCCCACACCACTTCAATAGTGTCTGCAGGCTCTGGAGTTTTTGCATTCAAACCAGGTCATTCACAGAGACATCAAGAGCGACAATATTCTGTTGGGAATGGATGGCTCTGTCAAGCTAAGTAAGTAGGAGCCTTAGGAATGATAATGCTTCTCTCCCTGTGGGGCCCTGTCTCATGTGAAATGGTAATCATATAATAGTAACTACAACAGTCACCAAAGGGTCTTTATTATTTCATGGGATATGAGGGCTGTTTTATATTCTTCTGTATAAATCATAGGATATCACTTCATTATTTTTTTGTTCATTTATACATTAAACAAAACCACAAAAAACTTTGCTAAATGCTTACTCTGTGCTAGGTCCTATGATGGGCACTGAGGGTACATTTTCCCTACCTTTAAGTTCTCAATCTAGTGTGGAAAACAGGTAATAGATAATTAGAAAAAAGAGTTTTGTGTAATTTCTTTCATTCAATTATTCAGCAAACTTTCATTGAATGTCTAGTACATGCTGGCCCTTCTAGGGATATGAGGACAAGTAAGAAGACATAATCTGTACTATCAAAATCTTCCTAATTTAAATAAATTTATAATTGCAATATAATATAAAAACCACTGCAAGTAGAACATTTTGTTCAAAGGTGTACAGACCATTAGTTCAGACAAACAGGCTGTGTCATGGGTGGTTGGGCAGTTTATGGAAGGACAACTAGCAGCCCTGCCTGGGTCTGGGGCATAAAAGCAGGGCCATGCCTAGTCATAGGTGATTGGGGTTTAAATCAAGGACTCATGCCCAAAGAATAAGGCAAGGACCTAGTTGCCAGATTTGGGAATATGAGAATGGTTTTCAAGAACAAAGCAGAATTCGGACAAGCAATCCAAGACCAAAATAGGCAGCTTGGACTTTAAGTCCTTTGGTTTGAGGAGGGGTAGGAGGCCAGAGATGGGGTTTCTTATATTCCTCCTATTTCTCTTCAGGATTCAATAGGAAATAGGCTAGGAGCTAGACTTGAAGGTAGCAGTCAAGTGACTTTGGAGACTTTTGGACAAAAGATAGGAGAGCTGGGAGCCAGGCACAGCTTGTCACCTAAGTCTATACACACACAGTCAACACTTACTGAAGTGAGTGTATATCCTAACTGTATATTATTTCTCTTATTTTTCTTTTCTAGCTGATTTTGGATTCTGTGCACAGATAACCCCAGAGCAGAGCAAACGGAGCACCATGGTAGGAACCCCATACTGGATGGCACCAGAGGTTGTGACACGAAAGGCCTATGGGCCCAAGGTTGACATCTGGTCCCTGGGCATCATGGCCATTGAAATGATTGAAGGGGAGCCTCCATACCTCAATGAAAACCCTCTGAGAGTGAGTATTACCAGTCCTATTTCAAGTTATTTGGGCTATTGTCTCTAGTCCGAGGAAATAGGAATCCAGGCTGTTCTCTGTGGCTTTCAACCTGGAGATCCCTTTTCTGGATACAACTAGTCACGGTTAAGCTTAAAGTATAAATGCTCAGGCCAGGCATGGTGGCTTATGCCTGCAATGCCAGCACTTTGGGAGGCCGAGGTGGGTGGATCACAAAGTCAGGAGTTTGAGACCAGCCTGGCCAATATATTGAAACTCCATCTCTACTAAAAAGACAAAAAAATTAGCTGGGCATGATGGTGGGTGCCTGTAATCTCAGCTGTTTGGGAGGGTGAGGCAGGAGAATTGCTTGAACCCAGGAGGTGGAGGTTGCATGCAGTGAGCCGAGATTGCACTACCGCACTCCAGCCTGGGTGACAGTGCGAGACTTCGTCTCAAAAAAAAGTGTAAGTGTTCAAAGAAAAGGAATATTAGAAGTTACTCATTCATTTATTCAACAATTATTTGAGTCCCTATCAAGTGTAAGAAACTATTCTAATTATAATAAATTAATATGTAGTAACAGATGGTAAGTGCTGTGAGAAAAAGCAAAGTAAGGGAGTTAAGAGAGTAATGGAGGAAGAGGTGTGCTATTTTAGAGTAGAGAGGGAAGTTTTCTCTCATAAGTTATTTTATTTTGCAGAGTTGGGAAGTCATTCGAAGGTTTTGAGCTGAGGAGTAATATGATCTGATTTATGTTTTAAACAGATCATTTTGGCTGCTTTTATGGAAAATAGACTGCAAGAGACTATTGTAATAGTTCAGATAAGAGTGGTGGTGTCTTGGACTGTACTGGTAGGAGTGGAAGTGAGAAGTGGTCAGACTCAGGAAATGTCTTCAAGGAGTAGCTGACAAGATGAACTGAATATTAGGGAAAGAGGAATCAGCAACAACTGCAAGGTTTTTTGTCTGAACTGCTGAAGAAATTCAGTTGCCATCTGTTGAAATGGTGAAGAGCATACTTAAGTGGGGTAATAAAGAGTTGGTTTTGAATGTGTTGATTTGAAATGTTAATTAGACATTTAAGTGGAGCTGGGAGTAGAGTTTGGCTTATGAGTCTGGAGTTCAAAGGTGAGGGGTCAGGACTGTAAACATAAATTTATGAGTAGATAATATATAGTTGGCATTTAAAATCTGAGGTAGATGAGATTACTCACCTAGAGAGTGAGTACAGTTAAAGAGATTTGAGTACTGAGCTCTAGGTTACTCTACTCTTTGCAGGTTAGAGGGAATAGGAAGGTAGACCAAGGAGTGGCCTTTCTAGTGTAAGAGAACAGAGAAGTGTCCTGGAGGTGAAATGTCCTGGAGATGAAAAGAACAGTGCTTCCCAAAGAAGGAGGAGGGTAGATTATGTGTCAAGTGTGATTGATAGGTTGAATAAGATGAGACAGAGAAATGAACATTGTTTTGCCAATGTAGAGGTTCTTAATGACCTTGACAATCAGTTATCAGTAGAATACTGGGGATGAAAGTCTAATTAAATTAATGAAAGTGAAAGAAGAGGACATTGAGAAGGCATGTATAAACAGGCGTCTTTTCTTTTAAAGGAATTTTGCTGGGAAGGGTAACAAAAATGGGGCACTGTCTTAAAATGGAGTCAAGGGAGGGTTTTCTAAAAGATGATGTCTGTGTTCTAATGGGAATGATTTGGTGAAGAGGAGGAAAATGGTCGTGTACAAGAAGGAAGTGACAAGTATAGAAGCGGTGTCCTTAAGTCAGAGAGAGGGGTTTGATCAAGTACTGAAGTAGAGGACATTAGATGAGCATGGACAATTTATCCATTGTAACAGAGCATATCAACACAGATGTAAATAGGTTGGTAGTCTTGGTGTAGGCAGATGTGAAATTTATTCTGATTGCTTTTATTTTCTCATTTATTCCCACCTCCCATCCAGTGCAGGAATTCCCTATGCACTGTTGCTGGTAGGTGGTCATCTACATGCTCATGTCATCCTTGGATACCTCTGATTATTGGAAATTGCCTCAGTGCACAAAACTGAACCTACATTCTGTAGTTTCTACCCTTTGGTCCCAGCTTTCTCTCTGACTCCACATACAACATATTCTTCTCTGCCTTAGAATGGCCTTGGAGAGATTTGAAGATGATGATTGCTGAGGTATGTTAGAAATAAGACAGAGTGATCTTAGACACTTTTTTTTTTTTTGAGACAGAGTCTCACTCTGTTGTCCATGCTGGACTGCCGTGGCATGATCTCAGCTCACTGCAACCTCCGTCTCCTGGGTTCAAGCAGTTCTCCTGCCTCAGCCTCCTAAGTAGCTGGGATTACAGGCGTGTGCCACCATGCCTGGCTAATTTTCGTAGTTTTGGTAGAGATGGGGTTTCGCCACATTGGTCAGGCTCGTCTTGATGGTCTCAAACTCCTGACCTCAGGTGATCCACCCACCTTGGCCTCAAAGTGCTGGGATTACAGGTGTGAGCCACCATGCCTGGCCCTAGACATATCTTTTTATGTTTCTGAACCTTATCTATGAAGTAAGGATGATAATTCTTGCCCTATTACTCAGAGTTAATTGTAGCCATTAAAGTAGACAGTGCTTATATCAGTACTTTGTGAATTAAGTGCTGAGTGCTTGTAAAGATTTAGTCTTACTACGTTTTTCTTTACCTTTCCCAGGAGATGCTTCATATTAAGGGACCAGGGTAGTAACAGTTTTTACTTACATTTAATATTCCTCTCCTGCTAGAAGAGATCAGTTCTTGGATGACTGAGATGAATGCACCAGGAATAATTTCTGCCAGCAGCTGGGCAGATATTTAACTCAACAGGCTAAATGGATAATAAACCCTTCAAATGTGTAAGCAAGAATAATAACAAGGCCGAACACAGTGGCTCACGCCTGTAATCCTAGCAACTTTGGGAGGTTGAGGCGGGTGGATCACTTGAGTCCAGAAGTTCGAGACCAGCCTGGCCAACATGGTGAAACCCCATCTCTACTAAAAAATACAGAAGTTAGCTGGGCATGGCAACAGCCACCTATAATCCCAGCTACTTGGGAGGCTGAGGCAGGGAGAATTGCTTGAACCCAGGAGGCGGAGATTGCAGTGAGCCAAGATTGTGCCACTGCACTCCAGCCTGGGCGATGGGGTAAGACTCTGGTCTCAAAAAAAAAAAGTATAATAATAAACCCTTAGGTCTGTAACATTTCATAAGTTTACAAGGTACTTTTAAGTACACTATCCTATTTTTACAGACATGAGATGGGCATTATCATCATCCCTACTTTACAGACAGGAAGGTTGGAAGTTCAGTGGCTTGCACATAGTCTCATGGCCTCCAAATGTTAAAACTGATCCTTAGGTCATACTCTTTCAAGTATGCATGCACAGCTGCTGCTTTGCATCCTAGAGCATAAAGCAGCTGACTCTATTTCTAGAATGTGTATACGGGGAACAAGAGAGAACCTCAGTTGGAGCTCAAAGTGATTTACCATCTTTATTGCCAGGCCTTGTACCTCATTGCCACCAATGGGACCCCCGAACTTCAGAATCCAGAGAAGCTGTCAGCTATCTTCCGGGACTTTCTGAACCGCTGTCTTGAGATGGATGTGGAGAAGAGAGGTTCAGCTAAAGAGCTGCTGCAGGTAACTGTCCCTACGCAGGGAAGCACCAAATTTAAGGAATCACTAAACCAAGCCTTTTTTACTTCATATTTGTCTGTAAGGTACTGGATATTATAGAATGAGGCTTCTCTTCTACCACTTCCCACACTCACTCTGTTCCTACTGCCCTAACTTTTATCCCTGGGCCTTTGCTTATACTATTTTCTTAGCCTCTTCCTGTACACGTTCTCCTAGGCTCAGTTTACGATCTACTTTCTGAGCACCTATTGAGCTTTCCATATAGCTTTCTTACTTGCTTCCTTTCTTCCTTCCTTTCCTTTCTTTTCTTTCTCTTTCCTTTTCTTCCCTTTCTCCTTTCTTTTCTTTTATTCCTTTTCTCCTCTCCCTCTCCCTCTCCCTCTCCTCCCTTTGTTTTCCTTTTTTTTTATTTCTCCATAGGGTCTTAACTCTCTCACCCAGGCTGGAGTATGCAATGACGTGATCTTGGCTCACTGCAGTCTTCCTCTCCTGGGCTCACTTAAGTGATCTTCCCACCTCAGCCTCCCAAGTAGCTGGGACTATAGGTACTCACCACCATGCCTGGCTAATTTTTTTAAAAAAACTTCTTTGTAGAGGCAGGGTTTTCTATGTTGGGCAGGCTGGTCACAAATTCCTGGGTTCAAACGACCGGCCCACCTTGGCTTTACTAAGTGCTGGAACTACAAGCATGAGCCACTATGCCCAGCCTGTTTGTATTTTTCATTAGCACTTCCTGTGTTCTGTTTGAATTAGCCTGGCAGTTTGTTTGAGTCTTGGTGAGAAACAGCTCTCTAACAACCAAATCCTACGCAAGTTGTATTTTGCTGGGATTGGCTCAAAGGACACATTTTTAGCAAAGGAACATAAGTTTTATTTTTTTGAGACAGGGTCTCTCTCTGTTGCCCAGGCTGGAGTGCAGTGGTGCAATCATGGCTCACTGCAGCCTCAACCTCTCCAGGTTCTGCTGATCCTCTCACCTCAGCCTCCAGAGTAGTTGGGACTGTAGACATGAACCACCATGCCTGCCTAATTTTTCTATTTTTTTTATAGAGACAGGGTTTTGCCATGTTGCCCAGGCTAGGCTCAACGAACTGCCCACCACAGCCTCCCAAAGTGCTGGAATTACAGGCATGGCATGAGCAACCACACCCATCCATGGAACATAAGTTTAGAAGATAATTAGTGAATGTGGCTTTTGGAGTCTTTACACTTTCTTCATTGGAAATCCTCAGATGATGGCATTGATACTCTACTTGTTGAGTAAGATTTTGCCAGTTTGTGGGGAAATTCGGAGTCAGGGATTTACCAGGCCTTTTATTCTCCCACCTGCCTAAACCTGATAATTTTATGTGGTTGCAAAAATTGCCTTTGGCAGGCCACATCATTTGTATTTAACATGTATGTTTCAAGTATAATTTCTTATAACTAGAGTTCTTTTATTGTATTGCCCACTGGTGATTTAATAGTAAGTATCACATGCAACTTTATGAAGGCATGCACTGTCATTTACTTTTATATTATGAAGCCCAGGAGTGACAGAGCAGGGCAGGGCAGGACCTAGTATATTGCCCTGTGTTAAAGTTAATTATGAGTCTCTTTCCTACTGGATTATAACTTCTATTTTATTAATCCCTCAGTCTCATGTTTTACCTAGGACCTGACTCAGGATAGGTACTCAGAAAATATTTATTGTGAATGGAATTGCTGGAAGAACCTACATTGGAATATCACATGTAACATATTTAGCATCTCTTTGTAATTGAGGTTACTGATTATGGAGCATTGGCCTATTAGATAAGGGTTCTGGGTTCTGCCAAGTGTAACCCATTAGTCTCTAGTATCTGTTGAGACTACAAGTCTCTTAGTACAATGTAGGACCCCTCTTTCTGTTCATAAGAGTTGCATTCTGGAAATTGTAGGCACTGGAAAATGTGTAAATACTATATGCTAAGCCTGTGATTAGTAGACATGCCATTGTTAATTAAGTACCAAATTATAGTTCTTGAAAAGTTCGTGCCCTCTAAAGTTTTCTTCCTAATATGGCAATATAAATAGTAATAAATGCATGATATTGAATCTTTATTTTAGGCACTAAACACTTTATATATTTAGGCACTAAGCACTTTATATATTAGCTTTCAAAACAACTCTGTGAGTTGTAGGTTCCGTTATT